GGCAGGTCTCGAACCTGCCGGCTCAGGCAATCAACTTGCCTCGGCCTCCCAAAGTGCTGGGATTGCAGACTGAGCCACCGAGCCCGGCCTACATTAGATTTTAAGGCTCAAGAATGATCTTTGACTCAATGTACATCAGCTCCCATCCTTAGTCCTGTGTTAAAGTCAGCCTAACCTTCTAAAACCAATGAGCTGGCCCTGCCTTCTGGAATTGAAACAGAGAACTTCAACTCCCAGGTCTGTGTCCTTTGTCATTTTCCCCTTTTCTTGAAGGAAAATGCATGTTTGCAGCTGAATAGCTCTATTAGCCCATCTTCCAGAATTCCAGAAGTCCAACTGCTGCTATAAAATTCTCAAAAAACATGTTGGTCTCCAATGCAATTTGTAGCATCCAAACTATCAGACAAGACGGGTCTCCACAGGTCTTTTCCACGTAACCCCATCTTTACTCCTGCCTTCTTCTTAGATAGCTGAATGGATCCACAAGTCACACACAATCTTTTCTGAAAATGTTTTAATTGGCACATAATAATTATACATACTTCTGGGATGTACGTAATATTTCGATACATGTATACAATTTGTAATGATTAAATCACAGTAATTGATTTGAAGTAATCTATCACCTCACACATTTATCATTCCTTTGTGTTAGGAACATTCAAAATCCTCTCTCCTGACTATTTTTAAATATGCAGTGGGTTATTATTAACTGTGGTGACACTACTGTGCTTTGGAACACAAGAATGTAGTCTTCCTATCCCACTGCAGTTTTGGATCCTCCCTCCTCCCCTCTACTGTTCTCAGCCTCTGGTAATGATTCTACTCTCTGCTTCTAAATTTTAATTCTTTCTTGGCTCCCAAATGCAAGTAAGGACATGCAGCATTTGTCTTCCTGTGCTGGCTTCTTTCAATTAATATACCAAATTTTTTTAGGAGATGATTGTCCAGCCATATCCATGATGTTCTTTTCAAATCACATGTTCTCATTTAATGTAAAGTAGATATGTGAAATTTTCTAAATCTTTAATTTCTGATTCTATTTTGCTTTAACAAATCCATCTTCAGTTTATCTCTCTCCTCCCTCATCTTTTATAAGCAATAAGAAAAAAAAATCAGACCACAATCTCGACACTTTGCTTAGAAATCTCCTCAGCTAGAGTCCCAAGTTCATTACTTACACATTCTTTTCCATTTCATAACATGGATCACCTTTCCTCTAGTTTCTTTTTTTTTTTTCTTTTTTTTTTTTTTTTTTGAGTTAGAGTCTCACTCTGTCGTCCAGACTGGAGTGCAGTGGCCGCTCCCGGCCACCGCAGCCTCGGCCTGCTGGGCTCCAGCTATCCTTCTGCCTCAGCCTTCCGAGTAGCCGGAATTACAGGCATGCACCACCACACCCAGCTGATTTTTTGATTTATTGTAGAGATGAGGTCTCACTGCCCAGGCGGGTCTCGAACCCGCAGGCTCAGGCAATTCACTCACCTCAGCCTCCCAAAGGCGCGGGATTACAGGCTGAGCCACCGAGCCCGGCTTCCTCTAGTTTCTAATAACATGTTCCTCATTCCTGTATGAGATCTCACCAGAAGCACCTTTAATGTTCATATTTTTACCAACAATCTCTTCAAAGCAGTCTTGGACGTTTCTTGACATGCACCTTAAAACTTTTCCAACCTGTACCCATTACTCAGTTTTCAAGCAACTCTCACAGTTTTAGGTATTTGCTGCAGTAGCACCCTACTTTCTAGTAACAAAAGTACTTTTCTAGGGTTTCAATAAGAAGTGTTATAAACTGGATATCCTAAACAAGAGAAATGTGTTGTTTTTTACAATTCTGGAAGTTATAAATCCAAAATAAAAGTGTTATAGGAATTGATTTCTATTGAGACCTTGCTCCTGTTTTGTACATGGCCATCTTTTCTCTGTGTCTTTTTATATGATCTTCACTCTACATGTGTCTGTGTATAAATTTCCTCTTCTTAAAAGGATGCCAGTCACATCAGATTGGGACCCACCCTAATCACTTCATCTTAACTTAATTGCCTTAACTTAACCTAATTACTTATTCTCAAATACAGTCACATTCTAAAGTACTGGGTGTTAGAATTTCAACTTATGAATTCTGGAGGGACAAAATTCAATTCATAAGATGGGGCCTGAGTGAGTACCAGAGGCACAGTTCTCAGAATTAATATTAAGAGAATTCTTGAGTATCTAAGTTTGCTTCAAAAATAAGTCAATATGCCCACATCTCACCTTCTTTGCTGTCCTCATATTTCTTCCACTATGCTTGACCTTGAAATGGTAAGTTCAGAGAAAATAACCTATTGGAATTATCATTTCGTTCCCTGCCTAGGGACATAAACATACATCCAGCATCCTTTTCTTAAAGTGTATGTATTCTCAGCCAGAAGCATAGACATGACTTAATTATTAAATAAATGAGCAATTCATGTCGAAAACATCAGATACATCTATATGTAAAGAAAGAGTTGTGTGATATATAATAAAATTCAGAGGACACGGTTTTTTAAATTTTTTTAATTTAAAGATGTGGGGTACAATTCAGGATTAGGTATACAAACGTTGATTATACAGGTACCCTTGTTGATGAGGAGTGCCTCTCTTTCCCCTAGCAGTTTCCCTCAACTGCCAGTCCCATCCCCCCACCCCTGACAGTTTCCCACTACTTCCAATCCCTTTCTTATAGTACTATGATAATTGTTCAAGATCCACTTATGAGTGAGAATATATGGTACTCTATTCTTTATTTCTGTGATAGATCACTGAGTATGATCAACTCTAAATCCATCCTGCAAAGTGTATATGTTTGTCCTTCTTTATGGCTGCATAATATTCCATTGTGTATATGTAGCACATTTTTTTTATCCAGTCCAGCTTCGATGGGCAGCGTGGTTGGTTCTATGTTTTTGCTATTGTGACTAGAGCTACAACAAACATACATGTGCAGGTATCTTTTTTGTAGAATAATTTGAGTTCCTCTGGGTATATTCCTAATAGGGGAATTGCTGAGTCATATGAAAGGTCAATTTCTAGTTCCTTCAGAAATCATCACACTGTCTTCCAAAGAGGATGTACTAGTTTTCATTCCCACCAGCAGTGTAGAAGCACTCCTTTTCTCCACATCCTCGTCAGCATCTGTTATTGTTTGTTTTATTAATGATGGACGTTCTTACAGAGGTTAGGTGGTACCTCAGTGTGGTTTTGATTTGCATTTCTCTGATGATGAGTGAAGCTGAGCACCTTTACATGTGTCAGTTGTCTGCCTATATATCTTCTTTTGAGAAGTGTCTATTCATGTCTTTTGCCCACTTTTTAATGGAGTTGTTTGTCTTTTTCCTTTCGGCACATTTGATTTCCTTGTAGATTGTAGATGTTAGGTCTTTGGCAAATATACAGTTGGCAAATATTTTTCCCATTCTGTGGGCTGTCTCTTTGCTCTTTTGATGGTTTCTTTTGCTTTGTAGAAGCTCATCAGTTTGAATAGGTCCCGCTTGTCTGTCTTATTTCTTATGGTATGAGTACTTAGGGTTCTGATCAGGAATTGGTTGCCAGTTCTGATTTCCATAAGGGTGTCTCCTGCATTTTCTAAGATTCTTACAGTTTGAGGTTTTACATTTAGGTCTTTGATCCATTTGGAGTTAATTTTTGTGTATGGTGATAGGTAGGGGTCCTGCTTCAATCTTCTGTGTGTGATCACCCAGTTTTCCCATTTACTGAATAGGTTCTCCTCTCCCCAGTGGTTGTTGGAGGCTTTGTCAAAGATGAGTTGGCTGAGAAAATGAGACTTTGCTTCCGGAATCTCTAGCCTGTTCCATTGGTCTATATGCCTGTTCTTATACCAATACCAGGCTGTTTTGATTACTGTAGCCTTAGAGTAAAGTTTGAAGTCTGGAAGTATGATACCTCCTGCTTTTTTTCTTTTGCTAAAGATTGTTTTGGCTATTCGTGACTGCTTATGTTTCCATGTGAATTTCTGTATTGTCATTTCCAGGTCTGAGAAGAATAATGTTGGTATTTTAATGGGTATTGCATTGAATCTGTAGATTGCCTTTGGTAGGATGGAAATTTTAACAATGTTGATTCTTCCTATCCATAAGCATGGAATATTTTTCCATTTGTTTGTGTCTTCTTGGGTTTCTTTGAGCAGTGTTTTGTAGTTCTCATTGTAAAGTTCTTTCACTTCTCTGGTTAGGAAAATGCTGAGGTATTTCTTTTTGTTGTTGTTGTTGTTGCTTTTGTGAATGGGATTGTGCTTTTTATTTGGGTCTCTGCCTCCTTGTTGTTGGTGTATAAGAATGCAACTGTCTTTTGTGCATTTATTTTGTACAGAGGACACAGTGTATTCAAAGTGTTTAATGAGAGAAATTAGCCATGAGGATGAAAATGTAAAAAGAACTCAAAGAATACATAGACTGTCTTTGTTTGAGAAATAACTTTCTAGCAAGCCAAGCTGACTCACCTGAATCCAATAGTACTGGAGGATGCAAATGTACCAGTACTGACAGTGTTTAGGTGAAGTTAGGGCACCAACTATCAGAATAAAGAATTCCTGCATTGGATGAAATAAGGGTCTTCACTCAGGATCTGAATAGATAGTTCCCTGAATTGTCAATAAGTCAGAACAGAAATTCAGATTCTCACAGTCTTCTCTTAAGCAAATGAACTTGGAGGCATCACTGTATCTTTATGTGAAATCATCAGGAGACCTATGAGTCAAGACTCTGTCAACTTACCAGTAGTAATAAGGGCACTGGGAAGAGATAGCACAGTCAGTGAGTTCAATTCAGAGGCTACCAGGGGCACAGGCCCATGAGTCCTAAACAGACTGGTGACTGTGAATTTCAGAACGTCATTTTTTAAGATATGGAGAAAGAACTAAACGTGGAGAATCTAGCTGCTTTCTGCTTCTTATTATAACACTGTCCAGCTAAAGCAAGCACTGTGCCGTACTCTATCTCCAAACATCACTTATTCGCTGCTTATACATTCTTTCTCAGGAATAGTCCTGTGACTCGATCACGAATCTGCTTGGTCTTGACGCCATAGATGATGGGATTGACCATGGGTGGGAAGAGAAGATAGAAATTGGCAAGGAGTATGTGAACATGTGGGGCAGCCCGGTGGGCCACACGGTGCATGACTGAGGAGATGACTGCAGGTGTGTAGAAGGCTAAGATGGCACCTATGTGAGACACACATGTCCCAAATGCCTTGTAACGGGCTTCCTGAGAGGCAAGTTGCAGGACTGAATGAAGAATAAAGATATAAGATAGGCTAATAAAGAACAGATCCAACCCTCCAATAAACATGGCTACAGCAATGCCATAGATATTGTTAAAGCGGGTGTCTCCACACGCTGCCCTTACCACAGCCATGTGTTCACAGTAGCAGTGAGCAATCACTGGGCCTCGGCAGTAGTGGAAGTGCCTGAGCAAAAGGGGAAGTGGAATCATTAGTGTCACAGCCCGGGACACAACAGCCATGCCAATCTTTGTGATAAGGGACCCAGTTAGGACCGTGGTGTAGTGCAGTGGCTTGCAGATGGCCACATAGCGATCAAAAGCCATGGCCAGCAGCACTGCTGACTCCATGATGGAGAAGGAGTGCAGAAAGAACAACTGGGCGAGACAAGCATAGAAGTTGATCTCCTGATCTCTGAACCAAAATATGGCAAGCATTTTAGGCAGTGCTGAAGAGGAAAGGAGAAGATCAATGGCTGCCAGCATGGCCAGGAAGAGGTACATGGGCTCATGGAGGGCTGTATCAGCCCGGATAATGAACAAAAGGGTGCAGTTTCCAAACATTGCCAGTGTATAGGCTGAGCAAAAGGGAATGGAGATCCAGATGTGCAGATGCTCCAAACCAGGAATTCCTACCAACAAGAAGGCATCTGGATGGGTTGAGGTGATATTGGAGGCTGACATGGCTTCTGGAAATTCTCCTTGTTGATTTTTACAGGCTCCTTCACCTTCCAGAGAGAATAGTCAGGGCATATATGATTACAGAGTTCATGCTCTGCCATTCCACCTAGGATGATTAGCTCCTGTTGCCATTCCTAATCTTTAAACAAAATCAACCAAAAGTCCTAATAAACATAGAGAAGCATAATCCATGGTTTCTACTCTCAAAAAACTTTGTCTTTTATTACATAGATAAAATTTTATATGTCAATAGAACCAGTATCACAAAACAGTTTTCATAAAGGAATGAAGAAGAGATAGTTTCTTTTGTGTTCTTGATGATGACAGAATTATCTTGATTAAAGAAGTAAAATATATTCAAATTTATTTATTTATTTATATCATACATTGGTACTAGTCTACCTAGCAATAAAACAAAACTCCCAATAACATTAGCAAATATTCTGTTAACATCTCTGATTTGACTAAAGTGTTTTGATACCACCAAAGGATTACACTAGCTCCCTAGCAAAGGAACCTAACCAGATTAAAATATATGAAGTGACAGATAAAGAATTCAAAATATGAATTGCAAGAAAGTTTAACGAGATCCAAGAGAAAATTGACATTCAATATAAAGAGACCAGAAAAAAGATCCAGGATATGAAAGACAACATAGCTATGTTAAGAAAGACCCAAACAAAACTTCTGGAATGGAAAAATTCTCCACAATAATTTCAGAATATAGTTGGAAGTCTTAACAATAGACTAGACCAAGCAGAAGATAGAACTTCAAAGCTTGAAATCTGGTCTTTCTGATTAATCCAGTCAGACAAAAATGAATTTTTTAAAACCTAACCACGTATTTGAGAAATAAGAGTTTGTGTAAGGTGGCCAAACCTATGCCTTATTCTCATTCCTGGAAGAGAGAGAAAAAAAAGTAAGCAACTTGCAAAACATATTTGAAGTTATAATTCAGGAAAATTTCCCCCAACTTTGCTAGAGAAGTCAACATGCCAATATAAGAAACTCAGAGAATTCCTGCAAGATATTATACAAGACAACAATTCACAAGGCACATAATCATCAGATTATCCAAGATCAACACAAAAAAATCTGAAAGACAGCTGGAGAAAAGGGGCAAATTACTTATAAAGTCCCATCAAACTAACAGTGTTCTTCTCAGCAGAAATCTTAATAAGCCAGAAGAGATTAAGGGCTTATTTTTAGTCATCTGAAGGAAAATAAAACCAACCAAAAATTTCATACCCCACCAAACTAAGCTTTATAAAAAAGTTGAAATGAAGTTTTTCCCAAACAAGAAAACCCAAGGGAATTGATCACCACCAGTTTGACCCTATAAGAAATGCTTAAAAGAGCTTTAATCACAGAAACAAAAGAACAATATTGCTACCATAAAAGCATATGTAAATACAAAGCCTGCAGACCCTGTAAAGCAACTAGCAATCAAGACTGCAAATGCAAATGCCGAACAACACTATAGCAGAAACAAAACCTCACATATCACTATTAACCTGAGTGGCCTAAATACTACTCTTAAAAGAGAGTGTGGTAAGTTGGACAAAAAACAGAACAAAACCCAACCTTTTGCTGCCTTCAAGAAACCCATTTCACATGTAATTACATTCATAGGCTCAAAATAAGGGAATGGAGAAAGATCTGTCATAAAAATGGAAGATAAAAAATTATATGAGGCACTATTCTTATCTGATAAAACAGATTTTAAACCAACAAAAGTAAAAAGTCAATGAAGAACACTACATAATAATAAAGGATCGATTCAACAAGATTTAACTATATATATTCTCAACAAGATGGCGACGGCATAGGTGAACTGGTGAGATTCTCTGAACGTGAGTTCCCAAAAAGGCTATTACTTCTCTTCCCCCATCCCCCAGCCCACCACCAACTGTGCTGGTGCCAGGCCCGGGAACTTCGGTCCCACACAGGGCCAGATATTGCGGCCCCCTACTGCTGCTGTTCTACTACGTGCATGGGAGTTTTGGGTCCGAGCCTCCTCCAGCTCCCTCCCTCCCTGGCTGCATTGTCTCCAGCCCAGCACCCGGCACCAAGCCGCCGGTCACACAGGGAGGCTCTGGGTGCCCGCTCCTCAGAGACACCAGTCCCATTCCTGGCTGAAGTACCCTGTGGGCGGCCCAGCGCCACTCTCGCCACTCACTGCCTGCCCTTTGGAACTTTGGAGCTCTGAAACTCCAGGCCCACCCTGGCTGAGGCACTCAGCATGAGACCCCAAGCCAGGGGACCCAGACAAGTGGAAAAAAACAGATCTGCTTAAACTGCCTCGCCATTCTCCAGGCAGAGACTTCCATTGATCTGCCCACCTATCAACAAACTTTACCTCATTTCCTAAGGTCAGATTTTGCAGCCCCCTGCTGCTGCTAT